GGATTGCACTTGGAAGTGATGTGGTGGAGGCTGACTCCATACACAGTTTCAGATGTAGATATGATGGAGCTCGAGAAGCTCAGGAATCTGTACACCAGTAGATTGACGGTTGACAGGCGGGACCAATATATAATTATATATATATATATATATATATAATATATATATATATAATATATATATATATATATATATATATATATATATATATAATATAATGTATTTATTGTGAGAATAACGATGATAAATGGGAACATATACGTGTTCCTAATGTATGTCAACACATCCCTTCTCTGTGCCTCTCTGTATCTGTACTTCTCTGCCTGTGTCTCTGTCTCTCTCTCTCCCTCCCCAACCCTTCACTCTTTCTCTCGCAAACTCCTTCATTCTCTCTCTCTCTCAAGACCGTTAGCGTGGCTGCCAAAACTGGGTGACCTAACATTTCTCATCCACCCCTCCCGCCTCCTCTCTTCCCTCCATCCCCCTCCCCTACAGGCAGCGCTCCACTGTTTTTACTAATTTCAGGCAAAGTATAATAGTTTAATTTCTTTCTTTTTTTAATTTTACTGACATCAGTGTGTAATGTTTGGTACAACAGAAACAACAGTCAAAGAGAAACAAAAATACAATTTAAAAGATTCCATACACACCCTCCCCATCATTGTAACCATTTTCTCTACACACAGACTTCGTTACTGCAGCCATTTTCACTATACACGTCAAAGGTTGCTCTGAATGTACATATACGCCAAAGTTGCTTTAAATTATGAAACTTTCTGCATTCTCATCTTTCGTCTCCACCGACGTCATTGAGGGGTCACTATGGGAGCCGACTACGCTTTAAGAAAGGGTAATGGGGCTGAACCCGATCAGACTATGGTAGTCCCCTACCCCCTCAGTCACCCTGCAAATCTGAGCGAGGCTAGCCCGGAGCGTCTGGTCTCCGCCTTAGCAGGCCAGACGTTCAGAAAATAAAACATAAATCTTCTTTTTCAAATCTAGAGACCAATTTGCCTCATGAGATTTGAGAGCGGTTCGTTGTGAATCGTTTTGTCTCTCCGTGTGCTAGAGTCGAGAGAGAGAGAGAGAGAGAGAGAGAGAGAGAGAGAGAGAGGAGAGGAGAGAGATAGAGAGAGAGGGAGAGAGAGAGGTAGAGGGAGAGAGAGAGAGAGAGAACTTCGTAACTGTTGCGGCATGGCGCCGCTGCTGATAATTAAACTATTCTTCTCATTTTAAATACGCCAGCAGCTAAATCAGACATGACAGGAAATTACGATTCTTATACTCCAACGCAACAGAACGTGGAAATATATTTGCCACGTTATGCACGGTTAATATTTATGTGTGTGTGCGTATGTTTATGTTGACCATTGTACCACTGGAGCCGGCTAGGATAGTAGCCGAGATGAGTTCCTGGGAAGAGTCGTCCTCCAGGGCTACAACCTATTGTTCAGGATAGGCAGCACTGTGCCAGCGCTGGCTGGAGTGCCTGAGCAGGACTCTAACACATTAGTTAAGGATGACGCCACAACTGCACAGCAATACAATGACAAGCAAAGTTCATGGGGCAGAGCTGCTCAGATATTACACCGCACCTCAAGTAATATGCATCATTTATCATTATTAAGTGTCACTATCAGACATATATATATATATATATATATTATATATATATTTCTATATATATATATATATATATATGTCGTACCTAGTAAGCCAGAACGCACTTCTCAGTCTACTATGCAAGGCTCATTTTGCCTAATAAGCCAGTTTTTCATGAATTAATTGTTTTTTTCGACTACCTAACCTAACCTAACTTTTTCGGCTACCTAACCTATCCTAACCTATAAAGATAGGTTAGGTTAGGTTAGGTAGGGGTGGTTAGGTTCGGTCATATATCTACGTTAATTTTAACTCCAATAAATAAAATTGACCTCATACGTAATGAAATGGGTACTTTATCATTTCATAAGAAAAAAATTAGAGAAAATATATTAATTCAGGAAAACTTGGCTTATTAGGCAAATTGGGCCTTGCATAGTAGGCTGAGAAGTGCGTTCTGGCTACTAGGTACGACATATAATATATATAATATATATATATATATATAATATATAATATATTATATATGATATGATGTATATAGATATCATCATTCCAATAGTGTCATCTACGGCCACAGTGGTGAACAGCGACTATAAACACCGAGAGAGAACTCACGCCTGATGCCCGCAGCCCCCCCCCCCCCCCCCCTCCACAGTAAGTCAAACTCCTCCGGAGACTTAAGGCTGAAAGCACAGAACACATTTATGGGGTTATCAGAGAGACGAGTCACTTAAAAAGGTGCGATGAACAAAAGGATAAAACTGGAAACTAATCTCTGGTTACGTCCATTCGCAAGGCTAACTCTTTGGGACTTGTGGCCCCGCGTCCTCCCGAGTCTCCTGGAAACACAGATGGGTACGTCAAGTGGTACGTCAAATGATACGTCAAGTGGTACGTCAAGTGGTGCGTCAAGTGGTACGTCAAATGATACGTCAAGTGATACGTCAAATGATACGTCAAGTGGTACGTCAAGTGGTACGTCAAATGATACGTCAAGTGGTACGTCAAAAGATACGTCAAATGATACGTCAAGTGGTACGTCAAGTGGTACGTCAAGTGGTACGTCCAATGATACGTCAAGTGGTACGTCAAGTGGTACGTCAAGATACACGAGTGTGGAGTGAAGGTCGCGGGAAGTGGCTGAATGTTTGGGGAAAATGTTGATGAATTAGCGTTACGCGAGACTTAGCCTGAGAGAGTGACGGTGTGTAGTGGAATGACGATTGTAGAGATGGGAGAGAAGAGGACGGGTATGGGGCAGTGAGTGTGGTCTGGTGGCCTGGTCCAAGATGCTCCCACAGGAAGCTCAAGTTGTAAGTTCAGACAATGACTATAATCATAGTTTGTCGGGTTATCAATAGAAGTGAGAATCAGTGTGTGTTGCTGAGGAATTATGTGATATGGATGATAGGAATGGTCACGTGGGAATGGTCCCGTGGGAATGGTCAAGTGGGAATGGTCCCGTGGGAATGGTCACGTGGGAATGGTCCCGTGGGAATGGTCACGTGGGAATGGTCCCGTGGGAATGGTCAAGTGTGGAAAGGTCAAGTGTGGAAAGGTCAAGTGTGGAAAGGTCAAGTGGGAATGGCCGGGTGGGATGGATTCGGAAAATGAGCAGACGGACATGTGCTGACCCGGTATAGGAGCCACACCAGATAAGAGCACCTGGCCAAGCACCTGTGGCCAACGGCAGCAGGAGCAGGTGATAATGACCCAAGTCAAGCCCGAAATGAAGAGCAGTGACAACGTTTCTGTCTGTCCTGAGCCTTTATTAAATCGAATCTGGAAACAGGTGGAGTTTGTGTTACTTATTTCATCCACATTATTATGTGTAAAACTCTGCACGAGGAAGTGTGTGGGGCGCGCACTCAGCAATGTCTGCACCAGTGCACACAGCCATGACAATTATATATAAACATTACTTAATGTATTAAGGGAACAAAAAAAATAAGTAATAGAAAAGCTGTTTCCGATATACCAGACAGCTTGTGATATGACACTGGAGCTGGTTGGGATTTATGACTGGGATTAGAGATTGGAACTGGTTGGGATTTAGATTTAGGACAAGGTACTGGAACCGGTTGGATTTTGTGCTTTGGACCAGGTACTTGAACCGTTTAGGGAACAATATACGGAACTCAGAGACGTGTGTATTTATGCATTATTTATACTTATTTTGAGAAGTGGTTGACTCTCGAATATGGTGTGTGTCTCCTCCGTTGTCAGGTAGAGCCAAACAGCAACGTTTGAGCCCTTTAGTCTATACCAATCGAGACCGAGTCCGCTTTAAAGGAGTTGAATAGACTAACAAAAATATATTCTTAGTAAAAAGAACATGGGAATGACAGTCACATCAGATGTATGTATATGTATGTATGTGTGTGTGTATGTGTGTATGTTTGTATGTGGTGTATGTTGTATGTATATGTGTGTGTGTGTGTGTGTGTGTGTGTGGGTGTGTGGGGAAGGGGTGTGTGAAGACCGTGACACGTGCCACCATTACATTTGGTGCGCCCAGTCGTGCTGACGGAATTGTGGTAAAGTATAAATAATAAAATGTTTCCTTCCTCTCCTTGACACTCCGAGGCGGGGGGGCGGGGGGTTGTAGGGTTCGTATATAACTTCAGGGCACCAGTTCCCCCCAACCCCTGGGCATGGGGGGGGGGCGCAACCCGTCCTCACACTAGGCTGTTTAAAGCAGCGGCCGTCCTCCCCAGACGCATTCAACAATTTTAACATGCTGTGTATTACATATTGGTTTGTTCTCATTTATAAATTAATATTTTATACATAAAAATACTATGTATAGTTAAGCGTAGGTTAGGTTTGGTGTTTAGGTTCTGTTGGTGATTATTTGTATTTGAAGTACATGGGTGAAGAATTTATAGAATTGTGGTTCGAACAAAGGACGTGAGTGAAGCACTTGTTCCAGAAGTATTCGGATGTCCTCCAGCAACCAGGAGGCCTGGTCGACGACCGGGCCGCGGGGACGCTAAGCCCCGGAAGCACCTCAAGGTAACCAAGGTATGTCCAGCCCGTCCTCTAAACAAAGACCCAAAAGTGATTCCATGCACCCGCCAAACCCCAGCTGTTTATGAATGAAAAACAGTTTACACACGACTCACAAGTGATGTCGTCCGAACACTTCCGGAACAAGTGCTTTGCTGACGACTTTTGTTCGAACCACAACGCTATAAATGCTTCACCCACGTACTATAAATACAAATAATCGCCAACAGAACCTAAACACCTAACCTAACCAGTGCCTAAATATGCACAATATGCTAATATATAATAATATTAATTTATTTTTGAGAAAAAGTTCTGCTTTGAATGAAAAGCATATTAAAATTGATGAATGCGTGTTTGGGGTCGACCGCTGGAGGGAATGGCCTTGGTCTGAGGACGGGTTGCGGGACGGCTCGAGGCGTCTTCTTGCACAACAGTCAGTTTGACAGGTGGTGGGGGAAGGTCGGTGGTGTGTCTGACACGGATAGAACATGGAAGGCTATTTAAGGTGAGACTTTGGTTTAAAAACAGTTAATCTTTGTTTATACTGTAAGAATAGTAAGAGTTAAGTACACAGAGAGGTGTACCTCCTTCCTTGATGTTTATACACTGAGATTTTTTTTATTATTGTTGCCGCCGAAGGTGGCTAGTTTATTGTGCACCCCATACCCATCCTGTGAGCGGTAGCGCAAAAAGCATTACAGCTGGCACAAAAGGTCTTTTATCAGACCTCATCTTAGATTATTACATAAACAATTTCATCTATCCTTCACACCTTATAGTTACAATGTCAGCTAGTTAAAGTGTTATTTCAAGAGCTATATATTTACAGTAAGTCGTCATACATTAATGGTAGGTATTATCGCTAATAAGTTTGACTATAGCTTACTCGAGTCCTGGCTTGTGTTAAAGGTTAAATATACTTTCTGGTTGGGTAGTAAGTTATTGAATTGGCCTTAATAACCTCCCAGAGATTTATAGGCAGTAAGCCCAACAATCAAGATTGGTGTGCTGTAGCAAGTCTGGTAAGAGTCTGCTGTAAGAGCAGACTCGTAAAGAAATGGTTGTCATTGCCCCGGAGATCGTTGGTTTATGCTTGTTTGACCTCTAAACCAGCGGCAGGTAGTTCGAACGTTGACAGCCACACGCCACGTACATATCATCATTTGTTTCCATTGGTTAACTGTTATTTGACAATGTATTTAAAATTGTATACAATTAATATGCAGATTTTGTAAAAAAAATTGAGTTTTCTCATATGTTGATTGATGATTGGGGGTTCATCGATTAGTCTCGTAATTCAATAGAAGATATAACCTGCTTTTATATGAATAAAAAGTTAAATGAGATTTTACGATGCCCAAATATTTAGTTTGATAATTTAAATTACACGATAGTGATTGATTGAGTTTTGATATTTGCAATAACATTGTGAAAGTGGTGCTAATGTTGTGCCATAGTTGGGAAGCCTGTTAGGCTTAAGGTGGTGTCCTGTGGCCAAATACTGACCTTCCCCAGGATGTAGCCCACAACAGTTGTCTTGACTTCCCGTTACAAAGTCACTGCTAGGTGAAGAGAAGCACGAGGTGAAAGGAAAAAGTTACACAAATGTTTTCGAACTACGGCGGGAATCGAACCCGGGATCTTTCGGTCATGGACCGACTGTGTTAACTCCTACGCTACAATAAATTACAAATCTAGCACTAGAAGACGCCACAGGTGTTGGTGGATGGGACGAGGTCTCCGGTGCTGGCGTGGGCGGGGAGTTGTGTAGCCTGTGACATGTTTAAGTGCTTTTACACAGCATTTTGATGCTATATGAATAGTGAAAAGTCAAAGTTTACAGTGTGAGGGGGGGGGGGGGTGACCTGTGAGGGGGTGTGACCTGTGAGGGGGTGTGACCTGTGAGGGGGTGTGACCTGTGAGGGGTGTGACCTGTGAGGGGGTGTGACCTGTGAGGGGGTGTGACCTGTGAGGGGGTGTGACCTGTGAGGGGGTGTGACCTGTGAGGGGGTGTGACCTGTGAGGGGGTGTGACCTGTAAGGGGGTGTGACCTGTGAGGGGAAAGGGGGTTGACGGAAACATGACTGTCCCTCACGATAATAAGTGGGTAGCCAAACAAAGATATAACAGGAGAGGTAAAATTGTACAATTATATTGCCAAGAGCATGTGTTACTGGGTGACGGACAGGTCCTGTACTGGTATATACATCAACCACGTCCCCCCAACCCTTCACCCACGCCTCCCCACTAGCCGCGCCCAACCTCTCACCCACGCCTCCACCAGGCGGCTTCCCCCCCAGATCACCCCCCCCAGATCACCCCCCCCCAGATCACCCCCCCCCAGATCACCCCCCCCAGATCACCCCCCCCCCCAGATCACCCCCCCCCAGATCACCCCCCCCAGATCACCCCCCCCCCCCCAGATCACCCCCCCCCCAGATCACCCCCCCCCCCCAGATCACCCCCCCCCCAGATCACCCCCCCCCCCCCCCAGATCACCCCCCCCCCCAGATCACCCCCCCCCCAGATCACCCCCCCCCCCCCAGATCACCCCCCCCCCCAGATCACCCCCCCCCAGATCACCCCCCCAGATCACCCCCCCCCCCAGATCACCCCCCCCCCCAGATCACCCCCCCCCAGATCACACCCCCCCCCCCCCCCAGATCACACCCCCCCCCAGATCACACCCCCCCCAGATCACACCCCCCCCCCAGATCACACCCCCCCCCCCAGATCACACCCCCCCAGATCACACACCCCCCCCAGATCACACCCCCCCCCAGATCACACACCCCCCAGATCACACACCCCCCCAGATCACACACCCCCCAGATCACACCCCCCAGATCACACACCCCCTTCCCAAGATCACACCCCCCCCCCCCTCCCAAGCTGAGGGGAGAGAGAGGGGGGTGGAAAAGACAAGGGACTTATGGGGACATCTCTTGTTTACCATATATATAAATGGTTTAGATTCAGGATTGAACAACAATATTTGCAACTATAGGGCGGTACAACAATAGGGGCGGGAAATAAATTCAGGTACACAAGTGGCTGAACAAATTTTAGGCAGGCTTTAATCATGGACAAAAATATTGGCAGCTACAGATTAATAATGAAAAATGCAGGGTTCTAAACCTAGGTAATAAGTTAGCAGATATCAACTGGACAGAGTTGAAAATGCGAGGCCGAATGATTAATGGGGATTTTAAGCGAAAATTTCGAAGCGTAAATGAACGGAATAATGCAAATAGAACCCTGGGATTTATTCCAGATCGCTAGCAACAAGACGACTAATATTATTCAAGTTTATATTGCCCTTGTTAGGCCCCACTTAACTTGTGCAGCGCAGGTTTGGTCTCCTTATTGTGAAATGGACACGAATTCACTTGCGCGTGTGCAGAGAATCATAGTTAATCCCAGGAATTGTAACCTTCTTTTGCAAATAGATTAGAGATTAAAACAAATATCTACCTCTCATCTTCCTAGAAAATGTAAGATTAATAATTTAAGTATAAATAAATAAACGGGTATAACAGACGAGATAAAATAAGGTTTTTATTTATAACACAAAACAGAACTGGAAAGGAAGGATGCAATCTGGAGAGGTTGAGCCTCGGGAAAGATCTGGTTAAATACATTGTTGATGATTAATGACAAATTACCATGAAGCTTAACAGATGTGGAATGGCTTGATTGTTTCAAGCGTAGGTTAAACATATATGGATGAATTTGGCTTTACATAAATAAGAATTGCCTCGTATGAGCCAATAGGCCGTTAGCAGTTTCTTCGTATGTTATGACAAAATCGTTATATATGATTTGAAACTATTATTTAATCTAATCACAAATAAAGATTAGTTTAGCCATGATGCATGATTCGTACAAAAGCTCTCCATAAAGTATCACGCTTAAAGAAAACATAATTAGTTTTCCTTTGTTTTCACATGACGCTTAGATGGTGTTGATGGGTGAGGAGGGTGTAAGGCAGCAGGCGATGCATTAGCAAGGTATAATGGGTGTGTGTGTGTGTGTGTGTGTGATCTTGAGGAGTGTGTGCAGGAGCGCCAGCCTCCGCTCTGTTTACCCGGCCAGCTCTCCCCTCACCCCGTAATGGACTGGTGGCCGGCTGAGACAACCCCTCCGCCACAGCTTCATTCATCTCCGCTTTTGCTGCTACGCGCCTTCCGTAGACTCTTCTCCAGAGAGCAAGTCTATAACAAAGAGGTTCAGACTAGCCAACATGGAGGAGCGCCGAGAAGCAAGGTGCTTTGTGGCTCGGGGGTTGAGGAGAGGTCGTCTTGAGCGCAGCTGTCTTGGGGCTGATCAAGGCAAGGTGGACCCAGAGACTAAGGAGGTCACGGGGCCTCTCCAGGACCTAATGTTTGTTCATTTCAAGCTAATATCAGGAGACACTGTCTGCACAGATGACCCAACAATAGTCAATGGTCCACGTGCTTGGGTGGGCATCAAAGGTGCTGTTTAAGGTGACTGTATTTAGTCTGCTTCACAATATTACACCATACGTCTATTGTTTTGGCAACTGTGCATCTGGTGCTTCTGTAGTATAAAAGTATTAATATCGGAAGGCTGGCATCAGCAACATAAATACAAAACCTTTTCCGGTTTGTGTATATTCAATAAACCCAAATTCTATTTTCTAATTGTTCATTGCGTCACTATGTACGATGTTCCACATTATTATAAGTGCTATGTAAACAGGAGGATGGGCTGCCAAGGGAGAGGCGGATGGTGTACGATGTTGAGAGAAGCGCTCCAACAACCTGTGTATTCCGGATGGTTAAGGCTGTGTGAAGGACACTGGCCAGGGGGAAAGAGGTTTAGCGCGGGAAAAGACAAAGTTGTCACAGTTTAGTTGAGGAATGTATTCACCTATGTTATGATCTCAGGCTGCAGGAGAAATGAGTCTTCCCCTGAGTTATTCTACCAGACTTGACCTAACCGAGAGGTCAAAGAGATGGACGTGGAAATATATGTTAAACACTGGGTTAGATTTGACAAATGGTTTAAAAGTATGGGCAGTAAGTAAGAATATAAATAAATGACTTGACATGAGATGTGGAGAATTTGCTGGGGGTGTGAAGCTCGCTTCTGAGGACGTTGACCTCACTTGAGTTGAAGAAATCGTGAGGGGAGGGCGTGCTCCGTTTGAGCCCCCGGTGAGGAAGAACCCCCGAGTGATATACCTTCAAGAAGGAAATTTCAACAGTGAAATAAGTTTGTGGACGTGTCGGCTCAAATCGTGAACTGCAGAAGGTGTTGTGGAGCAGTTAAAGCAGTTCTGTGCGTAGCCTGAGGCGCCCTGTGTGTTGCTACCCGGCCAGTGAGCACCAGCGAGTGAGTCAAATTCTCTGGTAAGCCCATTTTAACCATTTAAGGGATTGCTTGTAGTTGGTCGTGTGCCCAGCGGCCGTAGCAAGTGTTTATTGATATGTTAGGCATGTTTTGATAAGGCAGAAAGCCTAAATAAGGGAATTAAGATAA